TTTCTAATAGGACTCCTTCGCAGTCATTGAGAAGATTGCCCATAAGCAGTTAGTTGATTACTGCACCATAAATCAGCTTCATGTCCTATGCCAACCACCGTGCTGAAACAGCTCTTCTCAAAGTGATCAATGATCTCGGAGTAAATAGTGACAAGGGTGACGTTTCTATTTTAGTATTAATGGATTTGAGAGTAGTGTTTGACACAGCTGGTTTCACCCTGTCTAAAACGACAACGATTTTCTGTGTCTCACAGGAATTTTATGTTTAGGAAAGTTGACAACATAGTCAAAGTGTATACTGTATATGGAGTCCCCCAGGGGTCCATACTGGGTCCACTGCTGTTCCGTTTCAGTCACCTCCACAAAATACGGAAATACAGTTTATATTATCACAACACACAGTTGTATCGTTCCTTGACCTTATCTTTGTGTAACTGGCTGAATTCATCGTAGACATAAATATTTGGAAGTCCTACAACTTCCTGCAGCTCAGCAAGGACAAAAACGAAATTCTTAATGTACTAAAAGTCTGTGGCAAGAAATATGTTCTCATCTAGCTTCTATCTGTCCCTGGAAAGTATCACACAGGTCAGAAATCTGGGTATTATCATTGATTCTGACCTTAATTTTCAGAGCCACATTACTAACATAGCCATACTGTACTACATCATCTTCACCTCTGAGCTAGAGTGGGCTCTGATTGCACATTCAACATCTGAATGAGTGGACAATGTTTCCATAAATGTTAATTTATGAGCCCCACGCTGACCATATCTGCACTGCATACTCCCCCCTCATAACTGGGTCACCTGATGAGAGAGTAATGGATCTGTGGGACAGTCTCATAAATTATGCAGAGTAAGTGAGAGGTAAAAGACAAAGAAAGAGGTTAGTAGATGTATGACTGTAACAAGCAGCTGGAAAAGAGAAAGAGATGGAGTGTCTGAGACTGTGAAGGCTGTGCTTCTTTGTTCTTTTTTGGTCTATAATGAGTTTAAAAACGATGGCTTTGTGTTCTGCAAATAAAGCAAACAACTAAATCAGGGCAGAGGTTTTGTGTCCTAGTGGTGCCTATCCATCATGTTGCAGAGCTGATTCACAGGTCATAAGCTGACAGCGCATTGTGTGCTGCAGGCCCCTGCTCTTTTTTCAGCTTGTCAGCCTGCGTATTCTTGAAACGTTTTAAGCCACATGATGGACATCAACAGCCTGGGAGTTTTAGAAAGAAAAAGGTGGTCGGGAGCAGCATTTCAGGTTAGGTCAATGCAAGACTGAGTGATCCATCAGTGTAATTGTGTTAGAACGTAACAGCTTCTTCGACGCAACAAATAACACATCAGAGCAAAGCAGGGTGGAGAGGAGAGGTGTTAATTCGGTTGACGCCTAGACAGATGGAATCTTATTTCCACAATGTGCAAGTTAAATAAGATCTGTTTCGAAAGATTGTTGAGGAAGACATCATTATAATAAAAGAACCGTGAGTTAACTACACTAAACATCATATGACCAACAAAGTAAACAAGAACACATAGTTGCCAAATGAATAAAACTCAATGTGATGTCGCTGCTGTCTGACCTAATTGGCTCTAAAAAACATACAATGGCATACAAACTGAGGCCATTACAACCACAACACATCTTCCCATTAATATGCTGGCAGCATGGCTCTATTGATGGTGATGGTGATCTGTTTTCTTTGGTCCTGACCAAACACAACACAACACAGAATACATTTTTTTACAGACATTCATGGTGGCCAGAGGGTGAATCCTACTGACCTTGGCATCCCCTGACTTTTCCTTTTTGTGTGTGTGTGTGTGTGTGTGTGTGTGTGTGTGTAAAATGTCTCAACAATTATTGGATGTATTGTCATTAAATTTAATTAAATTAAACGTAGCGATAGTGGACATGGTAAACACATCAAGGCACTACAATATGTACAGTAAGTGAATGCATCACTGTTCATACAACCACAACATTCGTCGCTCATTCAGACTTATATTAGTTTAGTCTGTTGCTGTTATGTTCAGTTTAGTCTACTTTAGCTGTTTGATTCATAATGGCCAGTTCACTTATCTATATTTGTTGATAGAGCTTCATTCATTCATGTGAAAACATCTGCTAAGCAGAGTCTTAGAAGCACAGCACAGCCACTAGTGTGGCTGAAGACCTTCTTGTTAAAGCAAAGTAGAGCTATGGAAGCAACACATCTTACAATGCTAAATTGTGCGTGTCCTGCAAACTATATTTTAGTACGGTGGAGGCAATAGATCAGGATGTAAAGTAAGGACAGCAGAATATTTAGCATTTGAAGCAAAAATACTGTTCAATATTCACAGGGAACTATTTGACCATTCTTTAAAGCTAGTTCTGCAAAAGCAACCCCGATTAGATTTTTTTAAGATTGAATGATTATTTGAAAAATCCTGATCCATCCCTAATGACTTTACCAAGCAATTTTCCAACTTAAGCTCAATTAACCCATTAACAGGTTAGCGCAACCACACTGCTACGTGCATCTCAGGTGCGCCTGCAGCGAGGCTTCACTAGAGAATTGATTTCTCACCTATTTTTTTCCCAAGCCACACGTGGCTTCCAGCAAAAATAGACAGAGAAAAGGATCTGTTCATAGTTATATCGACATTAAACCAGCACATATACGCCTTCACTACAATGTTTATATCTGTAAAAATGTAGGATTTCTTTTTACTATCTCCTGTATCTGTTTCAGATTCTCACGTTTCTGTGGACAGAATCCATTCATATGCTAACAAGGCTTTTATTGTTCAAAGGTAAAACGTAATGTAGAAAGATAGGGCTGGTAGCAGAATCGCTCTCTGTGCGGACACCACAGGCGTGCGAGCCGCAGCAATTTAGCGTGGCAGCCATCTCGAACCGCTCACGCATGCAGTGTGGACAACGTGTCAAATATTCAAAACGATCAGTTATCAAATACACAAAGAAGTGGGCTTTAAGATTAACGGATTAGAAAGGATGTGGAAGTTGTTCATTCTATAATGAATGGGAAGCCTGTCAGGATGTGGTAGTAGAAGATACTACCACATCCCTACCACTCTGTTACTCACTGCACTTCACATTTTGGCCTCACAAACCGATTGTGTGCTTGAGAGTCATCTATAACCAATCGTCCTACACTAAAGAGCTGTGGGCGGTGTGAAAGTTAAGATCCTGCTTCATTTTCAGTAAGATGCCTGTTCAGAGTATTTCATGGTGACCTATAACCTTCCACCCCTCCTCCATGTCACCAACACTTTGAACTGCCTGTGTAAAGTCCCGACACCGCAGGAGCATTTTTAGAGATTCTGTCCAGATGGAGCGTGAAGAACTACTCCCTTCATCTCTCTCCTTCTCCCACCGATCCTCTCTTCATCCTCCACCCCCACCACTGCGTGTCCTACCTAATGAGGCGCTCCGCTTCAGCATGTGGGTGTCTTATAGTGAGTCTCAGCAGCCTTAGGCTCCAATCTGGATTCTTGTAACACTGTCAGGCCCTCAGTGTGCTGCAGATTTAACTCTGTCTCTCTGTCTCAGATGCTTGGAGATAGCTCCAACATGCAGACACATATAAACACATACAACCAAATGCATCAGCACACACACTGCATATTTGGTTCCCTTACATTATATTACCATGTAGGAACTCACCTTTGTGACTTTTACTTTGGTGATTTATGTACATTTATTCCAGTAGGATTTTGACTGCAGGACTTTTCTTATATCAGTCTTTTTTCCTTGTTGTAATATAATTATTACTTTAGCAAAGTATCTAAATACTCCTTTCGCTGCTGTAATATTTCTATATTTTATTAATTAAAAGTATAGATAAGAAATTATATTATATTAATATTTGGCTGACATTTGGATATTTTCATGGCTGAAAGTTGTTGTTCATTGCAATATGTGACATACGCAATGAGCACAAATTAGTTTAAACTAAGCAGTATTGCTTTTGGCATATTTTTCCTCATCTTGTAATTGTAAGTTGTATTTTGCTTCTGACACACTCAGTTTGGGTAACATATTTAAAGCAATTATTATCTGATATAAAAAGCCACACATTGTGCACCTGTGAGCAAAATCTGGTGGAAGTCAGCTGACAATATTCATTATAACACAGCAATTTATTTTAAGGATGAGAAATGTGATTGCAGATCAATTTAGAAGCGTTTCTGCGTTTCCTAATCACAGCCTTTTCACCATTTTTCACCCAAGACCCAAGAAAGTTAACTGACACCTCAGATGGATTATTGCCACAGACATCAGAGGAGAAAGCACAGACAACAGACAGCAGGCGGAACAGCACACAGGGAGCCAGGGCCAAATTGGTGGCAGCAGTGATGAAGATGATGACAGTGATGCTGATAGGTGGTGGTGGTGTGCCTGGACTGCAGCCACCAACATTAATAAAAGCAACCAGACTAAATGGGCTTCTTGTGCCTTGGGTGGCAGACAGAGTGTCCCACAGCTATTTGTCTCCTTAACAGTTGGGTCATATTAACTCTGTCTGCTGCCAGGGACGGAGGTCTTTGAGGTTAGTAGGGTTTCCACTGGTGGGGACGCATTGGAAGTCACCCATGAATGACTAGTTGTTTATTGTGTGGTCTGTACTGCATATGAAATAGCTATTTTGGATGCAAACTGTAGTTTTATTTGCACTATCACTATTTATTTGCATTTGTACGTTGTAAGAATATCCAGAAATGTTCATGGGGACTTTCTTGCACATTAATTTATTCTTGCTTTCTCATCTCTAGCCCCAACAGTTTAACTCGTGCAATAGTAACATAGCTGCTTCTTTAATGCATTTTCCTCAGGCACGAATTATTAGTAGAAATAAATATCCAAGAGGTCTGAATGAGTCTGAGCTTTCTGGTGCTTGTTTGTGGAAGATTTTTTATAACGGATCGTTGTGAGAAAGTTCACAAAATAACTGGTTGTTTAGCAGGAATAAGCAACAATGGGGGAAAAAAAGGTCTTACCTTTCACAACTTGCAGGTGGTAGAGTTCACAGCAACTAAATTCAGTGTTACCAAATGAATGGGGTTGCAAACAGGCTGTGTAAGCTCAGTATACACTCAAATCCGTGCATTTAGTAGTTTCAGTTTCAGGCGGAGTTTTGGGGAGTCCAAACTGACCATAAATTCCTACAGTGAGAGGTGGGAGTGACTTTAGCCCCGTATGTGAGTGTGTAAGTGGAGCAGACACATCGTGGCGCTGCAGACTCTACTGTCCTGCAGTCAGAGGGCAACGACACCGTTAACTTCACTGCCTGCTCCATGCTTTGCTCTCTGGACTACAAACTCTAAGGACTACAAAGTCCCGCCTCCCAAAGTTAGCAGGAAGGACAACAAACACCCCCCTTAACTCTCTGCCAATCACAGGTAGCTAGTATATCTAGTTCGCGCAGGAGAAAGTGATTGACAGGCTTGTAACATGTTCACTGACACCCTGTAAATCTAATTTTCTGTTATAAACAGCCCCCTTTTTAAAAATCTTGGATGAACTCCTTTCTTTTTATGAGTGGCACTGATAACAATAACATGTCACCCAGTCTGATACAATGAGATGAAAAACGTCTTAAATATCTTGAAATAAGAACTGGTGACCCGATACAATTAGTAATTATAAAAAAATAGTCAGTAACCTTATCCAAGTATCACAATATTAAAGTAACGTAAATTGATAACTTTCCGTTATTTTTAGATTACCTCAACACCAAATATGTGAATAAAACCAAGGGGTTCTTTGTAACCCTATCATATGTTTGTGTGTAAAATCTTAATCTGCAAAGTAACTAGTGAGTAACTATAGCTGTCAGATAAATGTAGTGGAGTTAAATGTACAAAATGACAGAAACACAACCTTTCTTATTTCCAGGTGATTTTACACTATGAATATGAAATATTACATTTCTGCCAATAGATCCTTCTAATAGTTACATACTGGACCTTTAGGCTCTAGCAGTCGTATAGAGATGTATGAAGGGCTGTAGAGCGGAGAGGAACAACAGATTCAGGTGATAATTTGTGGGTTCATCACCTCTTTCCTACCACAGTCATGTGATTTATTGTAAAAATATTGATTTTAGATGCTTCAATGTTGACTGGTGGTTTTCTAATAATAGGTCCCAGTCCACGAAGGGCTGTGTCCTCAGCCTAATTTCACAAATGTGATTTATTTTCAAGCAGGTTTGCTACCTGTCACTTGCATTACTTTGCACTGTCATCCATTGAAATGAGCCTCCCTGTCACCATCCCCAGCCTGGAGTTGCCTCCATTTACATCTCATTATGAAAAGATTGCTGTTCTACCTCCTTGTTCTCTGCCTCAGGACCCCATCTGGTGTGTTCACAATGACATGCATCATTTCCCTCTGTGCCTGAGGGGTTTATAGCAAGCCTACATGACCAAGGGACCACTCCAGTGGATCCTATGTAAAGGGGTGGGGGTGATAATAGCCAACTGCAGCTCAGCAAATCAAATCACATGAGATGGAATTTATTTTCCAATCACCATGAAAGAAGGGAACACCTGCTGTAGGCCCCCCCTTGATATTTGCAGAACCTTGCTCTCATGCTGTTGTGTTCATGGTCTGTCAGTAATGGCATTTTCCAGGACAGCAAGGAATTCCTTATGATTAGCATGAAGCAGCACAGCCCCATGATGAAACCAGAGACAGGAGACTGTTATAAAACACATTTCTGAAGAAAAAATTGCATTAAAGTGAGACTGAAACTTTTGGTTTTACGTATAGACGCTAGAGCTGCTAAAGTCCATTGATTTGTTTGCTTTTGTTTGCAATATGGACTCATTTTTACAGACTGAAAGTGCTGTATACACAACTTTAAGTAATTACTACAGATGCACATGATGAAATTGGGATGATTTGGTTGGAGAATAAGCAAAAAGAGCTTTGTTGTTTGTTTAGCTGGCAGAATTAGCACAGGCTCAAGTAGGAGGTCCAGACAAAGGAGAACGAATAGTGTAGGAATGTGGTCCTTTGTTGTCGAGCTGATTAATGAATTGCCCCTATAGACCACAGCTGGAGCTCTCGGCATAATGATACATGGCCGTGTGTGTGTGTAAGTGTGCTGTGGAAGGGGGTTGGTATGTTTAAAGTGCTGTGCGGGAATTATGTGTGGTGGTAATAAGGGGGTAATGTGTGTATCTGTCGTGAGGTGTGTTTATGTGATGGGCTTGAAATTGGATATTAAGGTTGTGGGCTCATGTGTCCCATTTTGTCTCCTGCAGTCTGGAGCATTCAACTATGAAATGTGTGCATTTTTGTTTTTTGTTCGCATTAAACAAATTAGAAAATGTCAAACTCTTCTTTTTAAGCAGTGATTACCTGTTTGGAAAAGCAGTACATGTTGAGAGTATGTGAAAATATGTTAGCAATTGATCAGAGATGCTTGAACTAAAGTTAATAGATAAATGGTTGGAATTTTGGTTGGCAGTACTACAAATGCCTGATCAAACTTGACCTGAACATGAGTTCAATTAAATGAGAACATTATTGCTTTATACAGTTAGTAGTGTTAAATAACATACAGTTTAAAGTTGATAAAAATTCACACACAGAACATGATGGGTGGGCTTAAAGGGAGTACTTTCATCTGTTTTAAAGCATTTTTTTTTACCTGAGTAGCTTTTTGTGTTTCTAGCGCCAGTCATCACATTGACCAAACTTCTTACATCCCATCTGATGTTAATTTGACTGTGAATTGATTGTGTGAATTATTTAAATCAGGCATATACAGCTCTAGTATGCAGGAAACATAAAGGAAGGCATCCAACTGTACCAAGGGTCCTGTAGATGCTTGTATTCATGCATGCATGCAGTGCACAGTTTACAAGCATTACTGGATTTATGGTTGTGCCATGTGCATGAATGAGTAAATGTGTTAATGCATATATATAACTTGCGTCCCATTGACTAAATGTGTTTTCTGTGCACGCTTCTGTATGCAACGGCAAAGTCTCCGTGGTAACAACAAATTCACACAGGAGGCACAGCTCAGCAAGTTCTTTTTCAGATCCAACCTCCTTCCTTTTGCCCTTCTATATCCCTCTCTCTTAGTTTTCTCTTTCCATCAGTCAATGACAGAGTTTGGGAAGGGGTGGGGGTTCTATTGTAGGGCTCGAGTGCTCGAGGATGGTGTAAGCAGCCTGAGAGGGGGATGGACAGAGAGATGGAGCAGGGTATATGACCAGGAGGAGAGTAGACCCATGGGACAGACATCCAATGTGCTGTAAACCATAACAGCCCCATAACAGGCAGATTTCTCATTTCCACGATGCTCTGACCATATCTCATCTAGCACCATGACAATCCCACTGAGACCCAGTCAGAGGCGGGACAGCACACTCAGCATTGGAGGAGGGGGAGTGGGACCTACATGGTGAAGTGGTGATTTGGAGGGAATCACAGAGAATAACGATGAATTTCATTGATATTATTTAGGGACCAAAAAATTTGACTTGATTTCTCCCCAACTGCTTGAGGATAAAGGATTCTGAATTCTCAAGGTTATTAGGTTATTTTTACGTTTCAGCTATGTGGATTTCTTTTTTTTTTTTGTGTTACTTTTTCCATTTTACCATTATAAGAAAATAAGTCACTGGCGGTTATTGGTGTTCTTTGCCTCTTTCATGATGTATTATCATTCATAAAATATAGATCAGAAGCTGTGTGCACATAAAAAAGTCTAGTGGCCACTAATGTCTCTGAGCTAATGCTATATTAATGAAGAGTGGGCAAGGCAGGAGCCATAGCACCTCTGGGTCTCTCTGAGCTGCAGGAGGCCACCTGTCTTCCTGTTAATGTGTGCACTACAAAAGAAGATAATGCAGTGTATTGGTGATGATGAAGAAGATTAAATAACTTGTTTCTGATCAAAGCTTTTTGCCAAAAGTGACCAGATCTGATTTATTATTTTAAATGGGGCACACTTTCCTGGGTTCTTTCATGTTATTTTTAATTTCCGTAGCTCGTTCAGTGACTTAAGGTTCTCTGTGATGTAGGTCAAGCTCAGAGTTAGTCAGTGCAATGTCAACCTCTTTGCAATAAGTGAAACTAAGATTTTTTTCATTTCCAGTTTAAGAACTTAGTGAATATGTATAAGTCATATATCTATACATACAATGATTTAGACACATAGATCTGACACAAAGCATCTCTTCTCCTTTTTTGAGATTATAGGAATAGTTTTTGGAAAATACACTAATTTGCTCTGTTGTTAAGAAATTACAATAGAAGATTTATGCCACTTGTTTAATTAAAGACTTGTTGTGCATTTACAGGTAATTCAGTCAGTAAAGAAGCTTGTTTCCTCAAATGTTAACTATTCCTTTCATGTTTGTCCCTGTTACCCTTTTTCCACCAAAGCAGTTGAGGGCTGGTTTGGACCCAGGTCTTAATCTCAAACCAGTTTTTTGCATTTCAACAGCCAAAGAACCGACTCTTGGCGAGGGAAACTGGTTCCAGTGTGGCACAAAGACTTTGCTGGTCTAGAACTAAAAACCATTTACAAAAGTTGCTGGTGATGCCTTATGGCCAGCCAGCTATGTATTTATCAGCTGTTTTGCACATTGATGTTATCAACGTGACAAGCATAACAAACAATAGCTACTCATTTCTCACATCAGTGCTTTGTTCATTCATAACTTTAATATTACGTTCGAGGTTAGTAACATTGATGTTGTTAACAGTAGCTTACAGAGATGTATACAGTGACATGGCTCTATGGTGGCTCTCTAGCCCGTAGAAAAGCAAACCAGTTCTTCAGTTGAACTAACTCTGAACCAGCACTAGTACCAGCCCAGAACTAGTGGACTAGGGGGTTTGAGAGGCTGTAGTTGGGGCCGTCTTCATTTAGCGTGTTAGCAACAAAGTACAGCTGAGGCTGAT